TGACCACTCTTATTACTCCTGTAGGCAAATGTTGAATTGTCAGTCAGCCATGACTAGCGTAACCCATGACTGTTGTCCAAGAGTAGCCCTTGCAATTTTTTCCTCATCTCCTCTCAACACTCATTACCGAGGGCCAAAGGTGATAACAATATATCACTATACTTTTTCCATAAAAGCTTGAACAAATAAGTTTTGTTTCTCATCTTAGTCTTCGACACAAAAGACCAACAGCACTACAAAGATTTCTTTATACAGAAATCACACAGAGGCACCAGCAGTAGCAGCTAGAGCAGTAGCTGAACCAACAATGCCAACAAGGCTGCAGAACAGATTAATGAAATCCACAGTAACTTGCAGCGGACAAAAAGGAACCAGAGTAGGTTCTGTTCCTGAATGTCATCACTTAACTTGTATCCCTTCAGAACAGCAGTGACTCACCGAAAATGACTGAAATTCTTGGTCATACTAGGGGTGCAAACAGCAGCACCAACCATGCTAGCTCCCAAGCACAGAGAGGGAGACGAGCCAATCTTCAGAGCTCCAAACGTATAGGGGGACACCAAGAATCTGCCAAAAATCAATCCTTTCACTGGACTCAGTAATGGTGTCGCCAATACCATATTATAATCAAAAGAAGCGCTAAGCCACAAGGGCTATACAGCCGCCAATACCATAGCAATGGGAAGAGAAGGTAGTGACATACTCGACAGTCCCTTATACCCCGTAGTTGCTTGTCTTCTGGATGAGTGGTATGTGAGAGCCAAACATCAGTAGCCATCATTGCTGCGAGTCTATATTAGCACTCAAGTTACCAATTTCCCGCTCTAGAGATTTCTCTATAAAGTAAGTAAAATATTAAAGTTGGGACCTTAGCTCCCTTATCTGATGCTTCAGAATTTCAGCAGGAAAGTATACTTGTACCTCCGAAGGTCCTGACATTATGAAAATATGTTTTTACTCCACAAGAGAGGAAACTACTCCGGGTGCTCGACTGTAGACATAGTCGGTCGAAATGGCCATTGTCTCCAACACCTTGGATCAAAAGGCCTCCCGGACAGGCATCCCATTTGTTACAGCTGGGGCCATGTCTATGGGCCTGTTTTGGCCCCTTCCCGTAACAAGATGTCGAATCCAGCTCTCGTCTAGTTGTCCATAGACACACTTCAATTTAATATGGGGATTTTCATTAGGAGACTGATCCGACTAAATAAAAAGTGATCTTTATTATAAAAGAATCCATATAAAACTTAGTATATGATACAAAGTTCTCTCTCTTGGAGTGTTATACATAAAAGTACACGTTGTCTGGGACTAAGTAATCTTCTAGAGCGGGGGAATGTATTAAAGACTGAGTGTCTGAATGTCCTCAGAAGAGTATGAACATACTCAGAGCAAGGGCTGAGAACCTACTCAGAGCAAGGGCTGAGAACCTACTCAGAGCAAGGGCTGAGAACCTACTCAGAGCAAGGGCTGAGAACCTACTCAGAGCAAGGGCTGAGAACCTACTCAGAGCAAGGGCTGAGAACCTACTCAGAGCAAGGGTGGTGAACCTACTCTGAGCAGGTGCTGTGAACCTACTGACGGTACCACTGAGTGGTAAGCCAATGTCAGGTTGGTCACGTGACTGAGGGAGACCTCAGCACCTGAACTGCTAACCGGCACTTAAACCTAGTGATTTCCCACTACATGGAAATAATATTAAAGCGTAACAAAACATAATATAATACATACAATATTAGCATTAATATTTGCCTTAACATATATACATGTATTATAAAATAAAGGGGCTTATCCAATTATAAAATAAAACGGGTATGGCCATACTCGTAACACCCAGGCTTTTTTCCATGTCCTTAATTTTACTAATGTCCTCTAGGAGAGATTCTGTTGTGCCAGCTAGGGTACCATCATCCAGGAACCAGATATTGAGCTCACTGGAGAGCGCTTCTGTGACTTCCTTGATGACCAAACAGAACAGAAAGGGTAAAACTTGCAATTTTGACTTAAATAGCAACCTCTTCGCAATAATTTCGCAAAAATCGTTCTGAACCTAACGACAAAAATATATTTTGTGTTTGCTTATTATCAAATTATCGTAAACTTAACTGAAATATATTTATCTGGATTAGGTTAAATTAAATTGTGCTTGTTATAATATGGTTAGGTAAGTTTTCTAAGGTTCTTTTGGTACAAAATTATTAATTTTTACATCAATATAAATGAAAAAACATATCTTTAAACCTGTAAGAGAAAATTTTAGAAAGAACTTAATTTTAATTGAGTTCTTGCTAATTAACCAGTTTTCTGCACGACAAATATATATATATATATATATTATATATATATATATATATATATAATATATATATATATAATATATATATATATTAATATAATGCAAAACAACCACTCTGAAAGAATAGAGAAATTCCAAGCGCTTTCGTGACTTCTCACATTATCAGGAACTATCATAGTTCCTTGATAATGTGAGTAGTCACGAAAGCGCTTGGAATTTCTCTATTCTTTCAGAGTGGTTGTTTTGCATATTCTGAAATCACCTGTTTACTGTGATCTTATTGCATATATATATATATATATATATATATATATATATTATATATATATATATATATATGTGTGTGTGTGTGTGTGTGTGTGTGTGTGTGTGTGTGTGTGTGTGTGTGTGTGTGTGTGTGTGTGTGTGTGTGTGTGTGTGTGTGTGTGTGTGTGTGTTTTGAAAACCAACCACTAAAAAAATAACGAAATTCCAAGCACTTTCGTGACTTCTTACATTATCAAGGAACTATAAAGAACAAAACATCAAAGGAAGGCATATAAAAGGCAAAGACTACACCTCACCATCACGCCACCACAACTAAGCTATACCTCACACACGCGTGACAACACCAGAGTCGGGTGTTGTCACGCGTGTTGCAGGCCAGCGTCACTACCATGCATATGTAAAGCTATGGATAAGGTCATAAGAAGAATAGTGGAGCACCTGGAAAAGTGAGGATTCATAAACAAGCGTCACTTTTCTCTTGATGGTAAATCTTGCCTCACAAATTTGTTAAGAGTTCTATGGTAAGGTAACGATCATCAGGAGAGGGCTGGCTGTGTATGTAGACTAAAAAAAAAAAAAAAAAAAAAAAAAAAGGCGTTCGATACAGTACCCCTCAAACTTGAGTAAGAGGCAGGAATTAAAGGAAAAACACTACACTAGGTCAAGAAATTTTGTACCGAACGGGAAGGAATCGAGTAAAAATACTAGTATATCACTTTATGAGCGTCATGCACAATTATCTATATCCATACGAGTATATTGTAATAGCGTGGCTGGAATAATTCACGAATAACTCAATACTGATAAAGCCAACCACTGGATTTCATCAATCACTCAGAACTTACCGATTGATGACAGAACTTACCGATTGATGATTTAAAATGAAACCTCAACAAAGTTCTGTTCACTACTAGACCATTATAGGGTTCGAAATTACCGACTGATAATCTATTTATTACGTTTCCAAACTGCGACTATATTTTCTCATATTTATTTCGCTAGTATTACTGTTCTCATTTCACGGCAGGAAGGATGACATGAAGGAAATTTCCAGATGAGCAACAAATGGATTCAACTGCTCCAATTAAGTATAAAAGTATACCTATTTGTAATCTAAAAATTTTTCCTATATCATTTTTGAATCAATGTATATACATTTCCAATAAAAAAAAAATCCAGGGCATTTTTTAAAACCATGTTTGCCAAATTCAGATCAATCTATTTTCAGTTAACCTTTGGTCTCTGATTATGATGAATAAAAATATCAATACCATTGCTAGAACAATTTAGAAATAAGTCACAAATCAGAGATGAAACCAGACAATATTTCGGTTCGATCTGTACCTTTATCAGAGTGCGTCTTGTTAATGGTCGGGGACGATCCGAAATATAATGTAATTTCGCCTATAAATTGTGGGTTTGTTGTCTTCAGTCAGTGTGCGATCTCTGGAAATCAAGATTTTGTTAGGATACAAAAACAGAGTCCTTGTTTTAAATGAGGTCAAAACCCAATTCTAGATAAGGCATAAATTAATATTCACAGGTATACAGCGCCATTAAGTCAGCAGTTGCTTGATCACTGATATCCAGCTCAGGTAGGCTATCTGCTACTTACTCACTTGTGGGTCCTCATCTGACAAAGACCTGTAAAGAAAATACTTCCGTGTTTTCTGACGAAGACAACAGCACCTTCAAATAGTTTGTGATTATTAACCGTCACCTGTGAGACATCTACTGGTGTTACTGTCTGGCATTTATTACGACGGCTGCTTCTCAAAAGGATAACTCTAAATCGTTAATAAAATTATTTTTAAATTATATAAAAGAACATTTCACTCGAAAGTGATTTACAGATGAGAATTTTTGTTCCTCCCTAATCATAGAGCATGGTGATGTGTGGGTGTGTACCCACACCCAGTGATGGTGATGTGTGGGTTTGTTCGCACACCCAGTGACGGTGAACAAAATCTTACCCATTAATCACCATTATCACACCAACCTTCATAATCACTTGTCTTTATGCTTACACCTGCCTTCGTAATTACATCTGTCCATGCCAAAACCGGTCCTCTTGCCCAAAATGCCTTCATGCTCACACCTGCCCTCCTGTTCACCTCTGCAAGTTACTGCAGCAGCACGCTCAATGCTACATTTCTGGGAAGTCAAGTTCACCTTTCCCTCACATCACTATCTTAGATATCTCTAAGTTTCTAGTAAATCACTTTCAGTGAGAAGTTTTGCACTAGCGCTAAGCGTCTAAGCTGTGCATAATGACTGTTGCTTAACTAGTTGACTTAAATAATTCAAACTAACTAGTGTTTATAATTTTCATGCTTCTTTGTTAAATACTATAGTTTAAATTATTCAAACTAACTAGTGTTCGTGTTTTTCTTGTTTCTTTGTTAATTACTAAAGTAGCGTAAGCAAGCCATAAAGAATGTTGGCCCGGGTGGCCCCCAAACTTCGGCTGAGACGACGAGCTGAACACGAAGACGAGGGTCAGGTAAGTTGTCTGCTGGCAACACTTCTCCCTGACTCCTCTCCCATACTCTTTTAGACTCCACCATTACCTCCCTCACACTCTCTCTCGAACACACACACTGCAGCACTTCGTCCCTCAAACACTCACTCCAGATATCCTTTAGGACTTTCTTACTCTTCCTCCATCTTTCCCTTGTATTCCATCCAACATTCTCCCTCACAACTCTCTCTCAAGCTCTCTCAAACACATTCACTCACAGTCCCATAAACACACCCTCAGTAGCACTTTAACGTTCCCCTGTCCTTTCACACCTACACAGTCTCTGGCACTAATTCGCTCATCTACACGCCCTCCAACGTTCACCAACACATTTTCCAAAATGTCTTTACTCACCCTGAGTTCCATCAGAGTACAGAAACAACCAGAAGTTACAGATCTTAATGCAAACAAATAAAATAACAAAATTCTTTTCTGCGAGATTCAAAATTCTAAATCAATGGTTTTACAGGACCAAATGCAATATTTCTAACCTTTGCAGAATCTCATTCTAAAAGTTGCTACAATAGCGAAGAATAATTCATGGGGAACGAATTTATGATGTGATGAAATGAACAAACTACAATATGTGGTCGATTTTGTAAGTCAAGGACTCGGTAAACAATGCAGACAACGTGCAGACACTGACCTTTGAAAACCTAATGTTAGTCATTTTTACAACAGTTTAAAAATCTGTTGTTGACAAATAAAGCCTTGACAGCCTTGTAAGTGAACACAAATAAGCGAAAATTATTAAATTCTTAGGCGAGTTTTAGTATTTTTTACATATTAGCTGTAGTAATCTTACTATTGTTCAACTTAAACTGAAAGTGACTTTTAGACTCAGACTGAGAGCCTCAGTATTGTTGGCAGGCAGATTATAGGCAGTGAAGTTGTTGATAATATCTGGTCAATTCATTCTGCTCCTTATGTTGCTGGAGCACAAAGTATTCAATTTACATGCGAGTTTTAATTTTTGTGATACGTCAGTGGTAGTAATTTTACTAATGAGCAACAAAACAAAACAAAAAATAATTCATACGTAAAATAAGTCATTTTTGGAGCAACGAAAATAGAGCACAATGGGTTAGCAAGATATTATTACCAAATTGTCTTCCCACACTCTGCGTTACTGAGATTGAGCTCCTTACTCTAGATCAAAAATTTACTACTGGTCACCATAATAAGCACAGTGTAATTGTCACCAGAAATCATAATTTTGGTGATTCACATTTCCGGAAATGTAATATTCAAGGCCGCCCTCTCGAAATATTCTACATCTGGTCTACCTAGAAGGGACGTGCAACCTCTTAGAAACCTGACTATCAACAAAGATGTCTTCTTTACCACTGCAGAAAAGGAAGAACGAGAAGGAATTCTCAACACTAGCGATACAATTATAAAATATACAGCATGTAAGATGATAATACATTCAGTCATTTGCCTGTATCACTGCTTAAAGGTAAAAGTAAGAGTTTCTGCAAAACGCACGTCAGTTCCTACTGAAATCCGAACAGGAATAGAAACTATTATAACTTTTTCCGGGACAGCCCAAGTCAACAAGTCTATATGGCTTAAGACTCATAAGACTTACATTCATCACCAGCCTCTCACCTCAGACAGGCAACGCCCTTCACCGAATGGAAGGTCTCGTTGGCAAGCATCTATCAGGCTCCTGGGCACCGTCTACTCCCCCCCCCCCCACACACACACACTTAAAATATTCAGGATGCCTCCAGCCTCGTATCTCCAGTGTCAATGTCAAGAATAAACACATTGCTTCCTTTGGTGTAATGTCTCTTCCAACGTCCCTACTGCAGGCGCTATCGACATGTTCTTCGACACGCTGTCGACACCGACCTCCCTGTGTTCCAGGATGAGTCCCAAAAATCTGGTAGACCGATAAGTGAATTCAAAACCTTCACAGCAGAGCCTACTCTCAAGTTTACTTTTGAGATCAAGTAAGACGATCAGCTCCCCTTTTCAGAGGTCCCTTAATACAGAACAACTGACAGTGACATCCTCTAATTCAAAATGCACAGAAAACCCTTAAACATTTCTATTCACAGCCGATACACACACATACTAATATTATATTTTTTTTTTTTGAGAATTCTTCGTATAAGAAGTTTTGTTTTCCTCGGGGAAGACTGCACCTACGTTTTACAAACTTTCACATATCTTAACGTTCCCCCGTTATTCATTCATGACTAGAAAAGATTCACAGACCGTCTTGAATACTGCACCTTTACAACGCACCACAAAGAGGTACTTTGTCCTCCCATGAGTTGAAGTGTCAAACAATACTCATGCAGTACTTGCCAAAACTGGTATCAAAATGGACACGACATCTGCTGCCTTCCTCTATCAAAGAACTCATGAGAAAGCGACCTGCTGTTATTATTCCTGTATCTACCGCTGGTGTCTACACTATTCCCTGCCACTACTAAAAGTGAGGTCGAAATGCATCTACATAAGATGTCTTAAGTAAATGCTCATGTTTCCTTAGTCACAAAATATGTTTTTCTTTATATTCACAGATAATAATTTGGTGTGAGATATAATAATCATATGAAACATCAGTCTCAGACAACTACCAAGCTGAACATCTTCATCGACACCAAATAAACAAAACTAATTATCATGAGAGCATTATCAACATGTAAATAAACTGGAACTAGATATATCAGGACATTTATGAAATAGGCTAGGAAGCTATTAGAATATTTTTTTTAGTACCAATGAGCCTAGCCTTTAGAGGCTAAGCTCATTGGTACTAAAATATATTCTGTATTCGTGCCATTACCTAAATGAAATAAAGATACAAGTTAGAAAAATAACGACGCTCTCTCTATTGACCAGACTTTCTCAAAAAGATACGAAATTTCGGTTAGATAAATATGTAATATAAAACTGAAGTTCAATATACTATAATACCCGGGAGAGGGAGAGAGAACAAAATAAAAATCTTCCACGAAGCTGATTGAGCTAAAATATTAATTTTCTTCTCTGTAAAAATGACTTCGAGATCTTGATTAAAGGAGATAGAAATGAAACTAATGACAATACAGCAAATTACGAAATTATGATGACATTATTTTTTCAGGGTTGAGTTATAAAATAGAAAAAAGATTAACAACTCATGAAATTCTCGGGAAAGCAACTCCAAACTCGGGCAAGATTTCTGATATAATTTTGACTACATTTTAATATGAGGAAGCCGTTTAAAGCATGATTGTGAACTCTATCCCAGGTTCAAACTACTGGAAATTTGTATTCACTAAAATTACCAACTAATACTTTCTGAGGCATTTAATTTTATATGGAGACAGAATCTAAAGAGACAGACACATTATCCATAAACATCCTAACAAAATTCCTTAACAGCAGAGCTGTGATGTTTACGTCGTAATGCGTGTTGTGGGCAACAATAGTCTCACTTTTTTACCAAGCACTTCGTAAAACTCCCTTTTTTACCCATCCTCCAACGCTCTCTCACATGCATCTTTTAATATTCTTTCACTATTTCACCACGTAACATTCCTTCACTCCAATATTCATTCATTCTCTATCACTGCTTTATTCACTCGTGCATTCTATTTCATCTTCAAGCACTTACCCATCCCACACTATTCAACCCTCCATCCCTTCCTCTCTCTCTGTCTCTCTCTGTCTCTCTGTCTCTCTGTCTCTCTCTGTCTCTCTCTGTCTGTCTCTGTCTGTCTCTGTCTCTCTCTCTCTCTCTCATACACACACACACAGACACCCTCGCTATTCATTCTCCAACTCGCTCATCCTTCGAAAAAGACCTAACTTATTCATGCTACAACACCTAATCACGCATCTTCAAATCTTCCAGAATTCTTTCACTTAACCATCCTTACAAATTTTATAATTCCTTCACCCACACATGCTCAGCAACTCTTCCTCTCTCATCCACTTACCAACACTCATCTCCCTAACACCAGGAGACGCGTCTTACCACCGTCTCCAACACTCCCCATCTCCCTAACACCAGGAGACGCGTCTTACCACCGTCTCCAACACTCCCCATCTCCCTAACACCAGGAGACACGTCTTACCACCGTCTCCAACACTCTCCATCTCCCTAACACCAGGAGACGCGTCTTACCACCGTCTCCAATAAAGCCAGCAGCAACCTGGTCTGTATGTGAACATTCATAATCAAGTTTTTAATTATAATTATACATAGATTTTTAAACCTATATTCTTTTTGTAAATAATTTTTTTTTTGGCTTTAGCTAGTGGAATATTTCCTTAAATTTTACCCCACGATGGACAGGGTTTTTATTAGAATATTTGGAAGTAGAATTTGCTTTGCTTAGAAAGATTTTCGTAGTGCTGACACGTACCTGAAATCCATTATTAGTTTCTAGCATTAAATTTTCCAGCTTTTTACTTTTTTATAAAATACTGAGTCCTGTTGAATTTAAAGTTGTGTTAATTGTTGCAAGTGTTAAATTTTCCAATTATTCAGATTTTTCAAAGATTTTATACCATATATATATATATATATATATATAATATATATATATAATATATATATATAATATATATATATTTTATATATATATATTTATATATATATAATATATATATATATATATATATATATAATATATATATATATATATATATAATATATATATATAATATATATATTATATATTATATATATATATAAAATATTATTATATATATATATATATATATATATATATATATATATATATATATATATATATATATATATATATATATATATATATATATATATAATATATATTTTTTTTATTTATTATCACACTGGCCGATTCCCACCAAGGCAGGGTGGCCCGAAAAAGAAAAACTTTCACCATCATTCACTCCATCACTGTCTTGCCAGAAGGGTGCTTTACACTACAGTTTTTAAACTGCAACATTAACACCCCTCCTTCAGAGTGCAGGCACTGTACTTCCCATCTCCAGGACTCAAGTCCGGCCTGCCGGTTTCCCTGAATCCCTTCATAAATGTTACTTTGCTCACACTCCAACAGCACGTCAAGTATTAAAAACCATTTGTCTCCATTCACTCCTATCAAACACGCTCACACATGCCTGCTGGAAGTCCAAGCCCTCGCACACAAAACCTCCTTTACCCCCTCCCTCCAACCCTTCCTAGGCCGACCCCTACCCCGCCTTCCTTCCACTACAGACTGATACACTCTTGAAGTCATTCTGTTTCGCTCCATTCTCTCTACATGTCCGAACCACCTCAACAACCCTTCCTCAGCCCTCTGGACAACAGTTTTGGTAATCCCACACCTCCTCCTAACTTCCAAACTACGAATTCTCTGCATTATATTCACACCACACATTGCCCTCAGACACGACATCTCCACTGCCTCCAGCCTTCTCCTCGCTGCAACATTCATCACCCACGCTTCACACCCATATAAGAGCGTTGGTAAAACTATACTCTCATACATTCCCCTCTTTGCCTCCAAGGACAAAGTTCTTTGTCTCCACAGACTCCTAAGTGCACCACTCATTTCTTTTTCCCTCATCAATTCTATGATTCACCTCATCTTTCATAGACCCATCCGCTGACACGTCCACTCCCAAATATCTGAATACGTTCACCTCCTCCATACTCTCTCCCTCCAATCTGATATTCAATCTTTCATCACCTAATCTTTTTGTTATCCTCATAACCTTACTCTTTCCTGTATTCACCTTTAATTTTCTTCTTTTGCACACCCTACCAAATTCATCCACCAATCTCTGCAACTTCTCTTCAGAATCTCCCAAGAGCACAGTGTCATCAGCAAAGAGCAGCTGTGACAACTCCCACTTTGTGTGTGATTCTTTATCTTTTAACTCCACGCCTCTTGCCAAGACCCTCGCATTTACTTCTCTTACAACCCCATCTATAAATATATTAAACAACCACGGTGACATCACACATCCTTGTCTAAGGCCTACTTTTACTGGGGAAAAAATTTCCCTCTTTCCTACATACTCTAACTTGAGCCTCACTATCCTCGTAAAAACTCTTCACTGCTTTCAGTAACCTACTCCTACACCATACACTTGCAACTCTGCCACATTGCCCCCTATCCACCCTGTCATACGCCTTTTCCAAATCCATAAATGCCACAAAGACCTCTTTAGCCTTATCTAAATACTGTTCACTTATATGTTTCACTGTAAACACCTGGTCCACACACCCCTACCTTTCCTAAAGCCTCCTTGTTCATCTGCTATCCTATTCTCCGTCTTACTCTTAATTCTTTCAATTATAACTCTACCATACACTTTACCAGGTACACTCAACAGACTTATCCCCTATAATTTTTGCACTCTCTTTTATCCCCTTTGCCTTTATACAAGGAACTATGCATGCTCTCTGCCAACCCCTAGGTACTTACCCTCTTCCATACATTTATTAAATAATTGCCCCAACCACTCACAAACTATATCCCCACCTGCTTTTAACATTTCTATCTTTATCCCATCAATTCCGGCTGCCTTGCCCCCTTTCATTTTACCTACTGCCTCACGAACTTCCCCCACACTCACAACTGGCTCTTCCTCACTCCTACAAGATGTTATTCCTCCTTGCCCTATACACGAAATCACAGCTTCCCTATCTTCATCAAACATTTAACAATTCCTCAAAATATTCCCTCCATCTTCCCCAATACTCTAACTCTCCATTTAATAACTCTCCTCTCCTATTTTTAACTGACAAAATCCATTTGTTCTCTAGGCTTTCTTAACTTGTTAATCTCACTCCAAAACTTTTTCTATTTCAACAAAATTTGTTGATAACTCTCACCCACTCTCTCATTTGCTCTCTTTTTACATTGCTTCAACACTCTCTTAACTTCTCTCTTTTTCTCCATATACTCTTCCCTCCTTGCATCACTTCTACTTTGTAAAAACTTCTCATATGCTAACTTTTTCTCCCTTACTACTCTCTTTACATCATCATTCCACCAATCGCTCCTCTTCCTCTGCACCACTTTCCTGTAACCACAAACTTCTGCTGAACACTCTAACACTACATTTTTAAACCTACCCATACCTCTTCGACCCATTGCCTATGCTTCATTAGCCCATCTATCCTCCAATAGCTGTTTATATCTTACCCTAACTGCCTCCTCTTTTAGTTTATAAACCTTCACCTCTCTCTTCCCTGATGCTTCTATTCTCCTTGTATCCCATCTACCTTTTACTCTCAGTGTAGCTACAACTAGAAAGTGATCTGATATATCTGTGGCCCCTCTATAAACATGTACATCCTGAAGTCTACTCAACAGTCTTTTATCTACCAAACATAATCCAACAAACTACTGTCATTTCGCCCTACATCATATCGTGTATACTTATTTATCCTCTTTTTCATTAAAATAT